GCTTTAAACGTCACTTGTCAGTAGCAATGTGACATCCTCCGCCAGCAGTCATCAGGTTTCGGCATTATAAGCCACTAGTTCTGGCGATCCACCCGTTATTTGGTGCTGTTTCCAGTTCGCCAGCAGTTCCGGCAAATACGAGCTCCGTCTCTAACGGATCCTTAACGGCCACATCTCCGTTCGGCGGTATCAATATATTTGCTGCCCCCAGCTCATGCAACAACCAATCTATCGTCTCTCAGGCTTCTCACCGTTCTATTTAGCCCTTTGGAACACCCGCTTGGTTGAGAGACTACGGTCACGCCAGCCGCTGTTGGTATCGTCTTTAGTCACCATCGTCCCCCGTCATCCGTTATCCTATCGTCCTCGTCGTGGTCTTCCATTTCTTATGCAGATGTTAGCACATGCATTACGATTTCTCCGCTTTTGCCAATGTTGTCCAAAAATATTTTACAACATCAAAGTGACAAGACATATTTGAGCCAGGGTAGATACTAGATGGTTACAACAATCCTTTACAGTGACAACTTGATTCAGTTGGTTGCAAAACGAAGTTTGAAAACTTATAGATTCATACGCTTAATTGGAAGAAGATTGCAAATAGGTTCTTCAACACATCTTGGTTCGCCAACTTTTTAGTAACATTTCGAAACAGTTGCTCAATAGGTACAAAAACCATATAGTTCACACTCTGTTGCACCAAAGTTTTAAGAAACATAATGTTGTATGGAACTCCCATTCAACAAACACAACACAAGTTAGATTTGTTGCTCAAGTGTTTCATACAATATCACGTAGCATATAACTTCATACCAATTTGAGTGTAACATGTTTGCTCCTCCCATTTGAGGCATGATTTGACAGGTCATCCAAGCAGTACATTGAAACAGTTGAGTTTCATTATTGTGACCTAAAGTAAATGAAGCAACAAAGTTGAAACTTTGTCGTATCAAGATGTATTCCCTGTACCATTTAAGGGATTTCTGGGTAACTTAAAAAGAAAAATAAAAGAATTGAGATGTTTTCTGTGTTGCTTGGGGGACCCTACCTACCGACCCATCTACTCAATAACCAGGGAAAAACGGCTTTACTTCCGAAGGAAGGCGTGATCAGAGATGTTATGCCTCAAAACATCCCGGCGACGCCGACTGGGATTTAACGCAGGCCTGCTGGGCTGCGACGCCGCTGCGCATGATATTCTAGTTGCATAGTAGAATTGTATGTATGTATGTAAAGGAAACCACGCATTGTTGCAGGTACAACCATTAGACAGTGGACTGTCCACCTCTTACAACTTGCTCAAGTACAACACCTGTTTGTATTCAATTTACCATCAAGGGCCAAAAACGGAGGGTGAGCCCCAATTATAAAATCCTACAACCCAGTAATGTACAAGCCGTCGCACTAGGGGATGGCCATAACCATAAAAAACAAATACAATCAATGTTTTTCAATACAAAATCTCAATTTTCAAAACCGATATATTTTTATTTAATTTAATTATTTTAATTACCTTTCATTTGATATTTTGATCTTTTATCGGCCAAGTGGTTCAAAAATTATTATTATTTAAAAAAAATCATGTCTAAAAAACGATTTTTTGCACCACTCTATCATGGAAATGGTCACCGTAATGACAAAATAAACGACTCTAATATTTTGCGATAAGGAACAAAACTAACGATTTTTTGCGATATCATATAGTTATAGAATGGCTAAATTGTAAACTTATTTTTAGAAAAAGTGCAGTTGCCCCCACCCCTAAACTCAGCAACACAAAGGATTACGGTAAAATGGCATTCGGCCAAATTTTCCATGCTAAATTTTATTGATACTGGGTATATTTTTTAAAAATCGGTATAAACCGGTAAAATCAGACTTAACAATCGTAAAAGAAATCCGTTAATAATCTTGGTTGATATCACACAACTAAGGTTAAATGCTAAAAAAAAATAAACAAATCCTCTTGCGAATATCTCCGATTTCATTGCTTTTTTTATTTATTTATTTAATTATTTATTAATTAATTTTTTTTTTTTGTTATTTTTCTTAAAGTTATTTTTTTTTATTTACATTATTTAATTCATTTATTAATTTATTTATTTATTTATTTATTTTTATTTGATTTTTTTTTTTTATTTTTTTTTATTTATTTATTGAGTTTTAATTTATTTATTTATTCTTGGTTTTATTTATTTCAATTATTTATTTATTTGTTAATTTATGAATTTATTTATTTATTTATTTATGGACTAATCTTGTGTTCAAATTTATTTATGATTTATACATTTATTTATTTATTTATTTATTGATTTATTTATTTGTTTAATTATGCGTTTATTTATTTATTCATATATTTATTTATTTATTGATTTATTAATGTATTTCTTTTTTCATATTTATTTATTTTTTCATTCATATCTTTAATTATTAATTTATTTATTGATTTCTAAACTTATTTATTTATTTATTTATTAATTTATTTATTCATTAACTTATTAATTGATTAGTTATTTTATTTATTTGTTTATTTTTTTATTTATATTCTTATTTATTTATATATTTATTTATTTATTGATTTATTTATTTGAAAATAATTTTATTTATTTATTTATTTTTTAATTTTTTATTTACTTTTTATATTTTTATTTATTAACTTTTTTATTCATATATTAATTTTTTTATTAATTTGTTAATGTATGTATTAATTAATTTAATTTTTTAGTTATTTATTTATTTATTTATATATTTATCCTTTCTTTTCTTATTCAATTATTTATTAATTTATTTATTTATTTATGTATTTATTCATTTATTTATTTATCCTTTCTTTTCTTATTCAATTATTTATTAATTTATTTATTTATTTATTCATTTATTGATTTATTTATTTATTTATATATTTATTTATTTTTAATACGCTTATTTTTTTATTTTTTTTTTTGGCTTATTTACTTATAAATTTATATATTAATTTTTTTTTATTGATTTATTTATTTATTTATTATCAATTTATTTATTTATTTATTTATTTATTTATTTTTTTTATTTTTTTATTAATTTATTTATTTTATTATTTATTTATTTATTGATTGATTTATTTATTTATTTATTTATTTATTTATTCATTTATTAATTTATTTATTTATTTATTTATTTATATATTTATTTATTTATCTAATTATTTATTTATTTATTGATTTATTTATTTATTTATATATTTATTTATTTTTAATACGTTTATTTTTTATTTATTTATTTATTGGTTTATTAATTTATAAATTTATGTATTTATTTATTTATTTTTTTATTGATTTATTTATTTGTTTATTTATTTATTTATTTATTTATTTATTTATTTATTCACTTATTTATTTATTAATTCATTTATTTATTTATTTATTTCTTTATTATTTTTTTATTAATTTATTTATTTATTAATTAATTGATTTATTTATATGCTTACTGATTTATTTCTTTATTTATTTATTTATATATTTATTCATCGCTATCTTGGATTTAAAATGACAAAATCGATGATTGGATTTCCGGCCTCTACATGTCGTTCCCGTTCCGAAAATATCCATATTGTTGGCTCTTTGACAGTTTTCACAATCTGCAAGACGCCATCTTGGATTCCAAAATGGCGCGAATCACCAAATTTTGATTTCTACATGTCATCCCCATTCCGAAAATACCCATAGTGTAGGGTATTCGACAGATTTTCTCACATGGGAAGTCGCCCCTTGAATTCCAAAGTGGCGTGAATCAGTGATGGGAAAAATCCAAAAAATCCAAATCAGAAACTGCCGAAAATCACGATCTTGGGATCAGCAAAATCACAAAAAGAAAATCACGGCTAATTGACCACTTTGTCATGCAGTTTTGGTGTGACTTTCTACCAGCGATTTCACAAAACTGGACCAACTAATTTCTATTTTTTCCTGAAACGCACAAATGTTGGCTACTTTTCTCATGGTTCTAGAAGAAAAAATCTCAAAAAAATATTTTATTTCAAAGTTCGAGTGGTAGTAAACTTCATTTTCACTGCTCGAATGAAGTGGTTAATTTTATCTTACCTGATGCATGTAGCAAAATCACAAAGCAGAAGATCAAGGCTTATTTTAACCTTAGCTGATTTTGAGCTAACACAATCACCAAACGAAAAATCAATACCTTGGTATTAAAATCAAAGTAAGAAAATGATATCCACCGCCATTTTGGAATCCAAGATGGCGGACCTAAATTCAATATAGTGGTCTCCGAACAACGTATATGCATCTAAACCTATGCAATATGGGTATCTACGTAATGGGCTCGATGAGTAGAAGTAGAAAATTGACATCCGCTGACATTTTGGAATCCAAGATGGCGGTCCAAAATTATGCATCTTAACCCGTGCAATATGCGTATCCATGCGATTTTCGTCTGCCATGTTGAATTACAAAATGGCGGCGCATTCCAATTTACAACTTCTGCTCATCGATCCCATTCCGCAAATACCCATATTGTATGGGATTAGATACGTATTCGCTGTCTGGAGGCCGCCATATTGGATGTTGGTCCACCATCTTGGATTTGTGGAAGACATTTTGGGTTGATATCCATCATTTTAATTGCATCTGGAATGCTAGCTTGAATTTTGGAATGTCCCAGGCTCTAGAATTTGACATATCTTCTAATCCTAAGATTTTTGATTATTTTGATCCTGGTTGACATTGATGCGGATTGATTTTGGGAATAGAAAATCACAGCTGATATTTGTCGAAAATCATGGGTGACTTTCGTGGTGATGACTGTCACTAAAAGGTGGAACTTTGTTAGCACAAAAACTTTATCAAATACATCAAACATCTAAATATTACGGCAAAAGCTCTAGAATTACTATTCCCGCTAAATTCCCATTCTGGACCACTGTGCAATATTTCAAGTTCATCTTCAACAACAAAGTCTTATTACTTTGGTAAAGGATCCCTTCCTCTCCATAAACGAAAACTCACCTTGGTGAATCGAAATCATTTCGACTGCTCTGATGACGCTGAGAGATGGATGACATTGCCCGGTCACCTCGGGCCGCTGCCATCATGTAGGTCCACATATCGAATCATTTCATCAATCACTTCCAGAGATTAGAAAAAGCACATCTCCCTAACGAATGATGCCCCCACCATTGCGCCCACAATTCCATTTACACCTACATGCAAACTTGGGATCCTTTAACTAACAGACTCGCAAAAAGTTGCCTATTTATTTTCCAAGCCACCCACAAAAACACACGTTTCACCACGAAGCACTCAACTCAACAACAACGGCTCAACAAATCACCGGCCTAGAACAATTCTTCACGTTTACCAACAACACTAGGTATGTCTTCCCGACAGCACCCGGACGATTCGCTCTAAACGACTTTTTTCGGCTAGATTTTCGCAATCTCACTTTATACGCACATTCCGATTGGCACAACGGTTTGATCAGAACTGATCTACTTTTTTTTGAGTAACAACGTTTGCGTAACACTATACTGATAACAACCCTTTGGCCTCTTCACAGGCGCAGCGTCATTGTTGATGGTTAAGTTTAAATTTCTACGCCATTTTCACCCACATTTCGTTTGTTTTTCTTCTTTTTTACCACAGCGGAGAAAGCGACGACAGTCAAGTGTGGAGGAGGGTAGATAGGAGAAAAAAAAAAACCTATTTCCAACTGTCTTTTGCAGCCCTCCGATGTTCGTTGGTTAAACCCCGCAACCACTAGCACACGTCACGTCAGTATGGATCCGGGTCAAGGTCTCTATCTCTACAACTGTTCTCGGCTTTGAATGATGCGGGCTCCCGGTTGTCTATGTAGCCCTGCTGCTCTGCTCTGTACCATGAAGAGCAGAAAGTTCGTTAGCGGGCAGCTCAGTGGCTCCTCCTGCCGGTGGTTTTCGGGTTTGTTAATCTGAAAGTACGGATGGAGAGATGGAAGAGATAAATGGATTAGATTGCATCCGGTCAGAAAAGTGGATTCGGTGTGATTGCTGGCAGATCTGCTTGTTTATGCCATTACGGGAAATGTTAGTCAGAAAGTTTTCAAATGGGCTCTGTCGGTTTCGGTGTGACTTTAGAACGAGCTTCTGGTCAATAGAGAATCCTAAATCAATATAAAGTTAAGAAAATGTTTGACCCAACCTGTAGTGGGATTATTTTTTCCAGAGAAGCCATTCAATAATGATGTCCTCTGATGAAGGGAGATGGAGGTTTTATAACTTTGTAACAGAATGTGTATTATATATGAAAAAAATGAAACAGGAGTAAGTCATAATTTTCAAAACATTAATTGAGATGTCATCCATTTTTATAACACTTGATTGGTTCGGTGTACAAATCCTTACAACTTTGCTTGGGGACTCCAACTGTTTGACGTTTTGACCTTGTGAATGAATCATAATTTTCATAATTTTCTGAGGAATAATCCAAATCTTGCAAACAAATGTGAATACAATTTTAAATCCAACCAACCAGCCACCATACACCCCAGCGGCATATTTATAACCAGCCACTTCTAACGTTTTTCCCATCTTGTAAGTTTACCTCTTCACATGACGTGCGGCATCGTCGTAACCGACAAACGTGAACTAATGCGAATCAACGTTAGCTGGTATTCGCCGGCACGCTAAGTGAGAATGAAATTACTTCTACGTTTATAACAATTCCTTGTGCATAATTCCGTCCTGTTCCGGTTTTAAAATTACTTTACGGAGGTAATGCAAAAGACTTTCTCCGACTTTCTGCACGAGTGCGTGTCGGTTGGCTCCTTGTGACTTTTGTTTGGCTGGGTACAAGCGTACTTAAAACTGAGCAGGGTGGATCCTCGTTCCATGAGTGCTACTTGTCGTGTTGGTTGAAATTGCAATAGGAACAAAGCCATTTTATTTTTGCAGTGAGAGTGGGTGGCATTTGGAATTTCGGAGAGCATAACATAGAACGAGGGAAGCATGCAATGAAAATTAAATTCTGCACTTGCACATTACTGGTGACAGCCGTTGGGAAAGGAACGGCAGAATTGCAAACGAGCTAAGCAAGCCACCCGAGTAGAACGGTGACGCCGCCAAGTCTTATCTTCGATGCCTCCAGAGAGATATGCTAAGAGCTACGTTGCGGGAAGAATTGGTGCCAACTCATTGAATGTAGAATTTATGGAATCGGTCGTTTGGAGGACGGCATTGTTAACAAATGTAGGAGTCTTTTTGAAAGGATTTGGTGTATTTCAAGGACAAACATAAATGATGTACAAGACAAAATCTGATTTGGTATCACGACGCAGCGCTATTCAGGATCATGATATGTATAAACATTTAAAAACATTCCTTGTCAACATCAAGCTGACTGGCTTTCCTATCTGCAGTTTTACATCGCTTTGGAAGGTGTGATCATAAGAGCGGAGATAGACACGAATGGTACGAGTTACACGTACTTCTTCCAGCTTCTTGGATTCGCCGGTCATGATACACTGAAAATATATTTCGTTAATTTATTCACATTCATTTCGTAGAAACTGATTTCGTTGATGAAACAAATTTTTCGTTAATTGTGTGAAACATTCGTATTCCATGTCACTAGGTTCAATGCCAACATTATGCATGATTCGTACAATACAAGAACGGTATTTCATGCAACAATTTGTGCACCTACAAAAAACATTCGTGCATGCAAGCTATGCACGCGCGACATTCGTGAATATTACGACACTATTCTTTAATGAAAGAAACTGGATTCGTTTGTGGTACAATATGAGAATGACAGAGCTTGTTATTATTTGTGAGTGAGATTTTGAATATCGCTAAGAAAAGCGAATGTTTATAGATTTGTGAGAGACCATCATGTCAGATTGTGACTGTGGAATTTCTTGGACACGATCCATTTTTTTTTGGCATCAAACATCATCTACATATACAGCACCTGCAGTGTAATAAAACGCTCAAAGAGGATTCAAACTAGAAATTATTATTTTTTCTGAGGGTGGACAACATGACGGACGGATACGGTCCTCTAGGGTCTATGAAGTTCTAGATGGGGTGAGTAATTTAGCCAAATTTTTGTGATTCCTGTTGGAACTAATTTTCTCTTCTGTTTCCCCGACGCTGCCTGAAGATCGTTCCCCAGACGAAACAATACTTTTGCGTGATTTCCAACTACTATATGGAGTTCAATTACCCCTGCGAAGGTGCGATGGATTTTGACGTAAAATGATGGCGCACTTGAAGAAGGTCCGGGCATTCTAAAGGCTACCGGCTACATCATTCTCGTAGGATGGGAAACATTATCAAATTCCTGGAACGTGCCATCGGCCAAGAAGCAAGGTTTTCAGCAATACTTTGAAAGCTCACGCCATCTTTGTTTTGAATTATCTTCCTAGCTGGAAATGAACTCGATCAAAGTGATGAAGATATTCAATAAAGTTTTATTGATTCCCTAAAAAGACAATTTTATTTACCTACAAATGTTTCGTGTGCCTTCGTGTTCTATTTTGTACAATGTATATGTTTTGTTATGGGTCTACGAATGTTTCGTACTATTTGAAATCCATGGGCTTTTACACACGAACAATTCGTAAATGTTTTATGAAACATTCGTAACGAATGATATAACGCTTCGTAAAATACACGAATGTTACGAATCAAACTATTTTGTGTTAAAACAAGTTTCGTAAAATGAACGAATCTATTTCGTTGCAGATAACAACGAATGTATTCATGAAACAAACGAACGATTTCGTTATATAAACTAAATTTAATTCTCAGTGTACGGATCTTAGAAACGAGGGCCAAACACAATGACAGCGGCAACCGCTAATCTCCAATGGATGGAAATATGTTAGATAACCCAAAATGACCTATTTGCGGAAAGGTAGTAAATTAAAACGCATCCCAACAAACAATTCAGAGTCACAAATAAGCATTTATATTGAATAAATTCTCTATAACAGTTTACAATGCTGAATAAAACGGGTTGTCAAATTATGTGTTGAGAAAACCTAATTGAGATCGATAGATGCGTCTTTATTGCGCTGTTTGCTCTGATGTGATCAATGTACTTAGTAAAAGCTATACAAACGATGACTGTCTTCCTGATTCAACACCAGAAGTTTGATCTAATAACAAACTGAATAAGTGTAATTTGCACATACATTGACGCTTTAATTCGACTGTTTTCATGCTTTATTATACGTCTAATAATTGTTTTTAAGGTCCATTACTAGATTCCATTGCATTGCTTAGCAATATTGCTGAATAAAGGTGAATACAGTCAGCATAATAGCTCTTAGACCACTATGCGTCCATGTTTTAATTGCATGCTTTGTAAATGCTTTACAAACGGCGTATTCATTCATTATTCCACAACACTGTTTCAGGCTAACAACAAAACGAAATTGGTACCATAGTGGTTACCGTTTCCGCTTTCCAAGTAGAAGGTCGCGAGTTCAATCTCAACCTCAACCCTTTTTTATTTATTGTCTACGCCTAATTAATTTAAATCGTAATCATTGATCGTATCACTCACGACAACCAATTCATCGATCTATCGAAAAGAATAGCCCAGAATCCATCGAAATTAAAGAGATGGAGAGGTAATCGAGGAGGTGACATTGGTCTCATGTAAAACAACTATGAAAGAATTAATTAAGCATTATCACATCTCTTTGAATAAGCTAGAGCTACGGCTGGGAGTGCTGATTAGCTATTCAGATTCAAGCTTTTATTGCCTATTTAGCTGCTCATATGATGTATTCTAGGATAGCTCAGATGGCAAAGCAAGCGGCTGGTTATCGGAAGGTCATTGTTCGAATCTAATCTAACGACATGTGTGTTTATGTATGTATGCAATAAATTTTCTAGTATCTGTGTGTGGTGGGTGCGCGTGCTTCGGCAGAAAACACAACACACAACAATCACTAACCCTGCTGTGTTTGTGCCTTTCTTATTTTCGGATTAATTATCCCGTAGTTGAATAATCGTTTAATAAATGTATAATAGTGTTTAATTAAACATTATTTCACATGAGAATCAAGCGTCTACATACACCTTTATACCATTGCTGTTTAAGGAAGTAATGATGTCTTATAAACGATGAATAATCAAAAATAAAGGCTGCTCGACATACCTTATGTCAACACCAAATATTTCGATGTTTTGGGTGAATAAATTCTCCAGATTTGTGTAAACAAAGCCTAAACAGAAGTTATTATTAAAAATAGTACAAGTATTATTTAGCATGCAGTTGAATTAAATCGGCAAGAAGTCGTTTCTTCAATAGGCAATTTTTTGTTGGGATTTCTTTATCAAAATTTTGGGTAAACCAGAGTGATTATGATTAAATGCTGCCCATAAATGATTGAAATTTTATTATTTTGTGATTAACGGACATGTTTAAAAATTAATTTACATTTGCAATGATTAATTAATAAACCATAATTTACGATTATGCATTTTTGAAAAATTCATACCCAGTTTTTTTTTTCGACGCGCCATTTCAGGTTGCAAAAATTGCTTATTAATACTTTCGAGCAGTACCACGCCAAATTACGAATCGGAAAAACTCAACCTTCTCCAATTTGCCTAACTGTGTGTTATGTTTTTTTGCAAAAAAAATCGGCCATTTTGGATGCTACAATTTCAAAATGGCGTCTATGCCATTTTTCAACAAATTGTAGCGCG